GCGGCGGCGGCGGCGGCGACACGGAATAGGCAGGCGGGCGGGGGGTTCCTCTGCTGGCCAATCAACGGCGAGGGTGGGCGGCCTCCGAGGGATCTGTCCCCCCCCATCACGGTTTATTTGAGGAAGCTGGTGGCTCCGATGCGGAGGAGGTGAGGAGGGTTGCGGGGCTCGTGGGTGGCGGCCGTTGGAGGCTGTGAGCTGGGGAGGGGGCCTGGGGGTCCCCTGCCTGGCTTGAGATCCGTGGGGGTCCCTTGCAAGGAGCGTCTCGATCTGACGGGGGCTCGGGGTCTGGGTTCTGGAGGCGCAGGTCCTGGTTCATAGATTGCGCCAGACTGAGTTGTTTATCGCGGTTCCCTGAATAAGGTTGGCTTTGCACACCCGCTAATAAGCCACCATGGGCTGGCTTTGCATAATGTGCTAAGCTCTGAATCCTGGTTTATAAACCGGAGGGGCTGAGTCCACACAGAATTCAGCAAGCCACATTATAGCTTTGTGCAGTGGGTAAACCCAGCTGGAGGATAACCAGGGTGAATGGAGGGGGGGGGGCTGGCCTTCTGGGGGCGTCAGAAAGATATTCTAGAAGAATCGAAAAGTATCGGGAGAGTATTATTGATACAAAATTGGGTATTGAGTATTGAAAGTGTTGAGATAGGGTCCAGGACCACCTAGGGTTTGGGGGTAGGGATTTGGCCAAAAGAAACATGCAGTCTTATTGGCGCCCATTGCCTCGCAACAACAGGAACACTCCTATTGCGGAGAAGGTCTGTGGTGTTTTGGAGCTCTCTGAATCCAGTTCCCCAAAGATATTTCGAGTGTCCCCACCTTGCTTTTCCTAGAAAAGCACAGCTGCTTTAAGGCGTCACAGGCAGGTGCTGTGTTCATGCATTTTTTAGATGCAAACCTGAAGCATTGTGCAGTGTGATGGTTGAATCCGGATGGAAACAACCTGGACTTTGCCAGATGTTTAGACTTCATTTCGCACCAGCTGTGTTCAGCACAGCAATAAATAGTAGGGTGGTGTTTAGTAGGGTGGTAATCAAGACCACCTGGAGGTAGAAAATGGTTTAATCCCGGTTTAGTCTATTGATATACTGCCTTTCTCAGTTGCGGATGTTTGGCATAAATGTGGGGGCTCAGATTCCTAAGATCATCCAGCAACTGTGGAAGGAGTTTAGCAGTTCAGGTGTTTCACTAATACTGGGGAGACCCAGGTTCAGGTTGAACCTTAGCCATGGAAGCTTCCTAGATGACTTTGGGCCAGTCACACTCTATTGGACCAACCCACCTCACAGGGCTGTGGTGGTGGTAAAAAATTGTGCCAGGAATTCCACCTTGAGCTTCTTAAAAAAAGGGGATATAATTAAACAAACCAAGCGGGTTAATCTTTAAAGGCGAATCAGGGTGGTGTAGTGGATCAGGTGTTGGACTAGAGCAGGGGGACTCACGTTCAAATCTACCCCAGCCATGGGAGCTCATGAGATGATTTGGAGACCAGTCATTCTCTCTTGGATTAACCTACCCCACAGGATCATTGTTACAGGGGGAAAAAAATGGGAGATGGGAGTGCTGCTTCTGCTGATGAGTTCCAGCAGGAAAGATAGGATATGGATCTAGTAAAAATAGGTCTCATTAAGGCTCCGGGGCAGTGTTTCTCAACCTTGGCATCTTGAAGATGGGCGGACGTCAACTCCCAGAATTCCCCAGCCAGCTTTGCTG